AGGGGGGCAGTTATTTCAGCCTCGCTCAGGCTTTCACCATTAGACTTTTAGAGCTGATCGATATCTGCTGTGAATCTCTCTGGGTCCAACACTCTTCAAATAGAAATTCAGTGCTAATGGTTAGCACTAACAGCTAACATTTAGCACCAATGCACAGAAAATTAACCTAGAGCATTCAAAATACAATTAGCCACAACAACAACAGGTCATACAGAGTCTGAGATCACCTGGTCCAACATCTCCTGGTCCGACGTCACCTGGTCCGACGTCACCTGGTCTGGTCCTGGTCTCCATGAGTCTCCTGTAAATCTTGAACCTGCTGAAGAGGAACCAGAGGAGGAGCAGAGAACAGAAACGAACAGGAGCAGCAGGAGGAGCAGCAGGAGGAAGAGGAGATGATGATGAAGATCTTCTGAATCTGAAATTTTGTCATAAATAAATTGTAAATATATAAAACAAATGTTTATCCTAAATTGAAGACGTTACTGACAGAAAGATGAAAGGAGACGCTGTTGAATTTTCACTCTGATACTTTATTAATAACTGGTGAAATGATTTAGCTTGAATTATATTTGCATATTTTTGTCTTTAAAGAGAAACAGACGAGAAAAGAAAAGATTTCAATTCAAACGTGAGAAAAAAAAAACGAAGGAAAGAAATGAAACTGAAGAGAAAATTCAGGAAAAAAAAAAATTCCGACCTGAAATTTGTTCTTTTATTTTCATAAATGTCAAGGTGAGTCAGAGAAGAAGAAAACGCCGCTGCACGTCTACACCATAACAACTGACGCCCCCTGGTGGTTCTCTGTGAAAAGAAAATACTTTTTTTCCCACAAAAAAAGAAAAGAGCAGAACAACAAGGCACAAATAATCCACCGCGTCGGATGTCACCCGGTCGGATGTCACCCGGTCGGATGTCACCCGGTCGGATGTGACAATACCCAGATCAGTGCAGTTTCTCAGTATGACATTAGAATGATGACCAATGGCAGCGAGCCGCGTCACCACACCTGCTGTAAAGTGCTCCTTTTTAAACAACAAACAAACAAACAAACAAACAAACGCCACCTGTTTCAAAGTGTGATTTTAGAGGTCAACGCAAAAGAGAATTGAACGATTTTACTGTTAGCAATAACGTCAGCTGCTTCAGAAAAACAAATCAACACTGTACACCGACTAACCACAGGAGGCAGCAGTGGACCAGCAGCTCCTGTTTGCGCCCGTCGAAGGGTGCGATACAGACGTGAACTATTTCTCGCCTTTAAGTAAACGTAAGCTAACCTGCGACACCTGACCGGCGACACGTATCACTCACGTAAACTTATCATCGACAAACCTAAAATTCAACAGGAGTCTTTTGGTTCCAGTTTCAGCCTCTGACTGTACACTGGTGCCCTCTAGTGGTACATCACCATGCAAACCATGCAGACAAACAAACAGACAAGTCAAAAAACAAACGACTCGATCCGATGACAATGTGTATAAAAAAAAAGTGTTAGAAAAAAATGGCATAGCAAGTTTACGTTCAGCCTCTTCTTCTGTTTCCTGAACTTCGCAGTTTCTACGCTAAAAATGGCATGCGTCACATGCAGTGCTGTTGGCGTTGGAGCGCTAAAGCTTTTTACGTTGAATATATTTGTTTGTATATTTGTACGTGAGGTCTTTGGGAGGAGTTCTCTGTACACGGCCCACGCTTCTGTTGTCCTCTCTTGTGAAGTTTCCCTTTGTTCCCTCTTGACGCTGCGGCTCTGGGTTCGGATGCGGACGACCTCGCCGTCATCCTCACCGCACTGGACCGACCTGGACGACAGAATCCACTCGTTGGTCCAGAACCCAAATGTGTCTGGGATTTCTGAGGAGTTTTCAGAGCGGCTCCTCAGGGAGGTGTGGTCCACACGGCGTCGTCCAGTCCCTCCCCAGTGGAGGAGAGCGGCAGAGGCCCCCCACTCGGGGTGAAAGGATCTGTGTCTGTGTCGGTCTCCCCCTCAGCCAGGTAGCTGGGCCGGGGTCTGGACCAGTTGGCGCCCCCCGTGGCCAACCTGGCCTCTGCAGACAGGTCCTCCCCTTGGTCCCCCTCCCGCTCCCCAGAGATGCTGAAGCCACTGGGCGATCTCTCCAGCTCCTCGTGGTTCACCGACAGCATGGAGAGCGGTGAGTCAGCCCCCCGCCCCCCTGTGGTCCTGCCTTGTACTGCAGACAGCTCCTGCAGAGAGCTGATGGGCAACACGGTGGGACGCTCTGCGTAGGTCGGGATACAACCCAGAGGGTGTTGCTGGTACGGACGCGGCGGCTGATGGTCCGAGTGAACTTGCACTCCTCCTCCTCCTCCTCCCCCTCCTCCCCCTCCTCCCCCTCCTCCCCCTCCTCCTCCTCCTCCCCCTCCTCCCCCTCCTCCCCCTCCTCCTCCTCCTCCCCCTCCTCCCCCTCCTCCTCCTCCTCCTCCCCCTCCTCCTCCTCCTCCCCCTCCTCCTCCTCCTCCCCCTCCTCCTCCTCCTCCTCCTCCCCCTCCTCCCCCTCCTCCCCCTCCTCCCCCTCCTCCCCCTCCTCCTCCTCCTCCTCCCCCTCCTCCTCCTCCTCCTCCCCCTCCTCCTCCTCCTCCTCCTCCCCCTCCTCCCCCTCCTCCCCCTCCTCCCCCTCCTCCTCCTCCTCCCCCTCCTCCCCCTCCTCCCCCTCCTCCCCCTCCTCCTCCTCCTCCTCCTCCTCCTCCTCTTGTTAACCCCACCCCCCCCATTCCTTGTCTGGCTCCACTGAAGTACGGGTTTACCTTGTCGAGTGGGACCTGGTAGGACATGTGGGGAAAGGCCTCGGCGTAGTTGAGGAAAACCCGTCGGATTTCCCCGTCGGCCGTTGGATGGCAGGTCTCCAGGGTCATGCGGGCAGTACCCGCCGAGTCCACCTGGAGGTGCTCCGTGTGCTGAATATGCATGTCCACAAGGAAGTCCAACTTCTTCTCCATGTCCTCCACCTGGGACAGAGGACAAGCATCAACCAACGTTGACTGTTTTTGACAACATTCCTCTCTGGACTCTCACCTGTCTTTCCACCCTCACAAATCTTCCCATCATGCTTTGGTCGTCAGCGTCTGGCATGGAGGCAGCTTTGGTTGGATAAGACTCGTGTCTGGAAGAAGAAGAAGAAGAAGAACACTGATTGGTCGGAGTCACAGCGTGTGGCTAACATTTAGCGTTATCGCAGAACTGTTTCGTGCGTTTTCTGTTTTTTTTTTCTTGCTCAGGTTCAGTTATTTCTCAGGTTTGACTCATCTGACAACAGGACCAGTTCATCAGTACCGATGTAAGGGTACCTGGGTGACTGGGTGCTGGGGTAGGTGAACGGAGTCTTCTGGACCTTCTTGTGTTTGGGGGTGAGCGGGGGTCCCGGGGCCAGGATCATGTCGATCCTTGAGGACGGAGGAGAAACAGGAGAAGTACGTTTTAGAGACAGGAAGACTGAGGGGCGGTCTTCTGGACTCTGTGGACCCTGAAGACCCTGACCTGGTCTGGAGGTACTTGATCCTGCAGAGCATGTCCAGGTGTCCGGCGGAGTACTGTTCGATCACGTCCTTGACGTCGTACGGCCTCAGAGTTTCCTTGAAACGCTTCTTGTTGAGAAGAAACTGCATGATCCTGGAAAAAACAGAGACGTGTCCACAACACTGGTCCACAAACCAGAACCAGAACCAGAACCAGAACCAGAACCAGGTGTAAAACCTATTAAGGTTTTACACCTGGTTCTGGTTTCTTTAGAAGAAAGATTTGAACCGTTTTTAGATTCTGGTCTTCATTTCTCATAATATTTCCTACTGGTACTGGTACTGGTACTGGTACTGGTACTAGCTGGGTCATTGTGGTTGGATGAGCGTTCCTGACCTGACGGCCCTGATGACCAGCTTCAGCGTTGGAATCATCTCCTCCAGCAGAACCTCCGGAGGAAAACCCCGATCTTCTAAGGCCGGATCAGCCAGAGCTCCAGCATCTGAGACGGCAACAGGAGGAGGCGTGAGCGACCACGAGAACCAGGACTGTTTGAAAACTAGTTTTCTATGGTCACATGGTACCTTCGGAACTTTGCCGGAGAGTGTAGGCCTTCATACGGAACGCTGTTCGCAGCCGCTCTCGGTTGCTGAACCCGGCAGGTTTGTGTTCCTTGGAAGGACTCTCCTCCACGGCCTCAGTCTGGGCCGCGAACCTCCTGGTGGAGCCCCCTGCAGGTCTGCTGTTAGGAAGACGGACCCGCTCCAGCAGACTCAGCTTCTGACTGACACGGGGAGGAAGGAAAGTCAGCACACCACTGCACCACTGCACCACTGCACCACTGCACACGAGACCAAACCTGACCTCTGCTTTTAAGCCATCACCACAGCCAGCAGGGGGCAGTGTGTGGGGACGGGGCCATGCTCAGAGCACCTCAGATTCTCTTTGCTAACAGCTCTCACTGATGCGACTGGAAATGTTTTAGCTTTGCTAACGGCTAACTGTCGACTGTGTGTGGGGGGGGGTCTATGTCCACTGACTTCAAAGGAAACAGGACTGACCAATGAACAGAGCTCATACGGACGTGAGCGATTAAAGCGGCTGCAGCCGCGGAGGCAGTTAACGTCAGCGCTCACGTATTTACTGCCGCCATTAGCTTCAGAATTTACTCCGTGTGTGATTTAGTGTCTGTTTGAGACACGAGGCGACATTTTCTGGGAAGCAGAAATGAATCACGACACGTGGAATAAAGACGACGCTCAGAGACTGACCTCGCCATGACCTCCAGGTGATCCTTCCTGCGGGTTCAACACAGACAGAAGAGACGTGAGTTCAGTCAGTTATTACTTTGTTCTTCTACGTTTCCACATGTGGCGTCCGGTACCTTGTGCTGGACAAAGAGATGACGGTTTCATAAAACCTCCAGGTGGCGATCAAGTCTTCTCTGACCGGATTGGTGGAATAGTATCTCCAGGCAGACTAGAGGGAAGAAGACGACAAAAATCAGAACTGAAATCGTTGCGTCAGGACTCTGAACATCTGACGGTTCTGACGGTTCTTCACCTGGATGAGTCCGGCTGCTGGATGTCGGCGCTTCTCAAAGTGTTTCTGTCGGTGCTGCTCCTGGACCTTCAGAGCTAGACCAGAACCCAGGATTCCCTACAGACACAAAGTAGTCCATTAGTCCGGTCTGTCAGAACCCTGTCTGTCCAGTCAGACTGGTCCAGTCAGCAGAGTGGACCAGTCGAGTCAGAGTGGACCAGTCGAGTCAGAGTGGACCAGTCCGAGTGGTCCAGTCCATTCAGAGTGGACCAGTCCAGCCCGAGTGGTCCAGTCCATTCAGAGTGGACCAGTCCAGTCAGAGTGGACCAGTGGTCCCCTTCCTTAACCACTGCACCAACCAGACGTCCATCTGCTGCTCAGCAACAGCTAATGTTGCTCATTAGCATCATGAGCGTTAGCTAGCAGGAGGTGTTCGAAGCACTAGCCACAGTAGCAGGTTACAAACTACCCTCCACTGTGCTAACAGATAGCAGCAGTGTGCTCGTTGTTAGCTAGCTCACCGCGGGCAGAGCGAAGAAGGAGACTCCAATCAGAGCGAAGGTACCAGCTAACAGTCTTCCCGCCCACGTCTTTGGAGTTTTGTCTCCGTAACCGATGGTTGTCAAGGTGATCTGTGGAGCCGAGGAGAGACGATGAAGATTAGTCACGACCTCAGATTTAAGCTAGCTCATATATCATGACGACAGCAGCTTTTCTTAGCTAACTATTAGCGATATGTAGGCTTTCCTTTTTTATCAAACAGTTAGCTAAACTGGTTGATTATACGTTATTTTCATGGTTAATTAAAAACCTTTAGAATCTTTTGATTTTTCTGATCAAGAAATTTTGTTGTTTTTTTACAAACAGCAGAATCGCCCCCTACTGGTTGGAAGCTGTCCCTGTCGATCCTGTTCTAATAAAAGAGTCAGAAAGTCACGGTGTCGGTGTTTCCACCTACAGCAAACCCCCCCCCACGACCTTTAACCTCATAATGACCCACTCCAGTAAAAGGTCAAAACATCATCATTAGCGGGGACGTTTGCTCAAGGACACTTCTGTCCCGGAGTGAAGAAATGCCCCTTTAATGAGGTCAGCAACCGTCAGTAAACACTGCTGGCCACCAGGGTGAACTCTGCTGCTGCGAGAATATCTCCAGAGAAAACGACTTAAATCCTGTATGAGAGAAGAGCTACGAAGTTTTTTCTTCTTGACTTAATGGTCGAACGAAACGTCCGTGTAAGAACTGGTTTTTACTGGTTGCCATGACAACGACTGTGTCGCGGAGAAACATTGTCTCCATTTATGTCAGCAGAAATAAAATGTTATCATTTAAAGGTTCCCTGGCGCCGGCTGCTGATTGGACTGGTTCACAGTCTCGGCGTCGGCTTCAGGAACAGTTCGTTAAAAAAAAACACTGACGACTTTTGGCTACGAACCAAACGTGAGGGTTTTTGCCAAAATCCATAAAAAAAAAAATCGGTTTTTGCCAAAATCCATAAAACAAATGTTGATCTGTGTTCGAGGGTCACTGGAGAAGAATTAACGCCTTAACGTACCAGCCCCCACCAGAGGGCGTCTGCGTAGGTGTCAAAGTCCTGGGTTTTGGGCGGAGCCGTGGGGTCACCCTGGTCCAGCGCGTCTGTAGACACGTCGTCCTTCTCCACCAGGTAAACCAGGAACGAGGCCAGGATGAGGGACAAGAACCCGATGTACCAGGCCGTGATCAGTTCCTGCACAAACACAAAGTCACCAGAACTCCAAACGTTTCAAAGGGACCAGTCAGCGAAGACCGGGACCAGGAGGAAGTCCAGGTCCGACCCCGGTCGCGTCGGCCCCCGTCCGGCAGCGTCCGTACCTTACTGTGTGCGTAGATGGCAGAACCCAAGAGTTTCCAGGTTCCTCCTCTGCGGTCCATTCGCAGCATCCTCAGGATCTGCAGGAACCTCAGGCTCCGCAGGGACGTGGCCAGAACGTTCCCCTGGTTCCTCACTGCCACCACTGGTACAGAGGCGATCAGCACAAAGATGTCTGGAGAACCGCACAAAGAAAACCAACCAGGCGGTCTGTCAAACACCCATGCTAACAGGCTAACAGGCGGCTCGCTGCTAGCTTAGTATTCCACGACTTTAACTCCTTTTTTTTACTGCAACCAAATGTTTATATTGACGGGCTAGTTTTGTTAGCTACAAGCTAATAACACGGCGACCAAACTTTCACACGGTTAACGGACCGTAGCTGGTTTTAGGCGCTTGACTTAACTGATGCTAACGATAATTCAAGTTCAAATTTCTAGCCCTGCTTTGACAGAGCTGGCTTTTCATCACGTCTTACCCAGAATACACAGAGGTTTGCGAGCAAACTTCAGCCGACCCCTCCATCCCTTGTAACGACAGCAACATCCTGCGGCCCAGATCCTCAACGCAAACTCTGCTCCGAAGATGAAGATAGCAAAGGTTTCCTGCCAGAAACACAAACAAGGAGAAAAACAAATAAGAAGCGAGAAGAAATGAGTCAAACGCTGTCAATACATTTAGTTCAGACCAAAGTCCATGGAGAAGATCAGAGATTTTAGTTCGGACCAAAGTCCATGGAGAAGATCAGAGATTTTAGTTCAGACCAAAGTCCCTGGAGACAATCAGAGATTTTAGTCCAGACCAAAGTCCATGGAGAAGATCAGAGATTTTAGTTCGGACCAAAGTCCATGGAGAAGATCAGAGATTTTAGTTCAGACCAAAGTCCCTGGAGACAATCAGAGATTTTAGTTCAGACCAAAGTCCCTGGAGACAATCAGAGATTTTAGTCCATGTGTTAAGTGGACTTAACTCCAGTGTTAGTGACAGACTCATACTCATTGGTACAGACAGAACTATGGATCTTTAGTTGCTGATGGTGAAAACACTGACCAGGATGACGAGCCAATGAGCAGAGATCTTCTCGTGTTCTTTGAAGGTGGTGAGAATGGCCAGAATCAAACAACCAAGGACGATGAGGAACCTGCAGAGAACAGACACACAGAACTGCTGAGTGGCTTCTTCACTACAACACCAGCAGGTGTGTGTGTGTGTGTGTGTGTGTGTGAATTGAGGACATGCACTGCGTATGTCCTTCCCTCCAGCAGAGGGAGCTTCATCTTCCCCGCTGTGACTCCTTTATCACCTCTGAGCGACAGAAAAGACCTGATCAGAGACAGGGCTGACCTCTGACCCCGTCGTATCAGACGGGGTCAGAGGTCAGAGAGAAAATCAGTGATTTAGTCACTACGCTGTTTGACGATCCTCAGTGTCACTAACTGACCACAGGAGGCAGCAGTGGACCAGCAGCTGTAAATCATTCAGTTCCAGGGCGTGGGTCCGTCAGGCTCCGCCCCTTCCTGTCCTCACTTCCTGAATCATTCATGGCTGCTGTGTTTCCATTAGTCTCTGCACAAACGAAGCAGCATGAATATTTCACAGACTGTTCCATTATTCACCTGGAGGAGGCAGCACTCAGAGGCAGCAGCCGCCTCCGCCCTGGTACTGACCCTGGTACTGACCCTGGTACTGCCCCCGGTACTGAGCCTGGTACTGACCCTGGTACTGATGATGGGACTGACCCTGGTACTGACCCTGGTACTGACCCCGGTACTGACGCTGGTACTGACCCTGGTACTGAGCCTGGTACTGAGCCTGGTACTGACCCCGGTACTGAGCCTGGTACTGAGCCTGGTACTGAGCCTGGTACTGACGCTGGTACTGACCCTGGTACTGTCCCTGGTACTGAGCCTGGTACTGACCCCGGTACTGAGCCTGGTACTGAGCCTGGTACTGAGCCTGGTACTGCCGCTGGTACTGACCCTGGTACTGACCCCGGTACTGACGCTGGTACTGACCCTGGTACTGACCCCGGTACTGAGCCTGGTACTGACCCTGGTACTGAGCCTGGTACTGTTGATGGTCCACACCAAGAACAACTCCAGACTGTGCGTGTGTGTGTGTGTGTGTGTGTGTGTGTGTGTGTGTAACACCACACTGTCACAGCTGTTTGTTCGACCTGAGGTGTTTTTAACACCAACAACTGCCACCAGGGGCTGCAGCAGTTAAACGGACGTTTCCACAACAAGGGGGCGCTGACAGACACGCTGAAGGAGCGAGCGAGCGAGCGAGCGAGCGAGGGCCTCGGTGGTTTCTGGGTGAATCAGCAGACTTCACCGCTCGTCGTAAAAATAAACCGCGTTCATCACTGTCACACCAGCTCACGTCTGACCTCTGCTGGACGTACTGAGAACGAACGCAAGTTCAAGTGGTTGTGGACCACAGCCACCGTGACCCTGCAGCTGTTCCTGGATCCAGAGCAGAGATGATTCATCACACACACACACACACACACACACACACACACACACACTGTTGCTGATCTCCTGCCTGATGTGGACGCAGCCACTGTGATGTACGCACTGAGGCATCATGGGAAACAAACAAACAATCTGTTGGAAACAGCGTCAGTGTGTTTTTCCACACGTTGCTGATGTAGAGGCTGAGACTGAGTCTGAGTCTGAGGCTGAGGCTGAGGCTGAGTCTGAGGCTGAGACTGAGGCTGAGTCTGAGGCTGAGGCGTCATCACACCCATAATCCATCTGTGTGACTGTGGCTCCAAACACACCATGAAGAAGTCCAGCCAACAAATGATTCATTTTAGCTCCGAGGGACGGAGGAACTACAGGCCTACCTTTATTTATGAAACGATTGAGTGAAATATATTTTTAGACATAAACAAAAGTGGAATTGTTGACAACCACAGGAGGGCGCTGCTGCTGCTGCTGGGTGGGAGGAGGGTGTGTCAACAAGCAACAACAAGTACAGCACTAATAATTATCATTAGAATAATTAGTGAAGAGAGAAGAGACACTTTAACCAGCTGCTGCTTCAGGTTCACACACCTCGACTGAACACTGAACATCCAGCAGGGGGCGTCGGTGTTGGTTAACCACTGAACTGATATTATATTTAAAGAACTAAAATATATTTTTACTTAAGGTTATATTTAATCCACCTGATCTCCTAGACCAAAGTCCATGGAGAAAATCAGAGATTTTAGTTCAGACCAGAGTCCATGGTGAAAGTCCGTCCATTGGTCCAGTTCCCTTGATTTGAGTTCTGGTGTGGGAGAGAATCAGCCTACAATATGAGGCTATTTTCTGATCCTTGAAGAGAAAAGTCAAATTGCTGACTCAGCCTCCATGCTGTTGTCATCCACCATCATCAAAATTCCCCCCTGGAGCCGTTTTCTTTCCTGAATCTTCTTCTCCTGAGCCTCTGATCACCCACTGTTCTCTCTCTCTCTCTCTCTCTCTCTCTCTCTCACATCTATAACAAACCAAGGTCGTTCTACCAACACTCATTACTCAGCCTGGGAAAGAGAAGAATCGGAATGTTTTCTGAGGCAGGGCCTGACCAGAGCACCTGAGCCCAGACCTGTGAAGGTCAGTCATGGTGCCTGAGGTTCTGTTGTGTCCAGGTTCTTCTTCCAAATGTTCTGTTTGGCACAGACCTGATCCAAACAGATGGAGCTTCGTCAACTCTAACGACACACGTTTTTTCAAACTTTTGTTCGTGCCGTTTTATGAGATACTGACACATGTCTCAACACTGACTGCGTGATGAGCGCCCCCTGCTGTAGGAAACAGCAGCAGCTTCAGTTTCAGGAGCAGCTTATGAAGTGGAATCAGGTGATATTTTGGTTCGTGAGCGTATTTTAGACAGCAGGTTGCTTAGCAACTGAGACTCTTTGTTGCACATATGGCTGTGTCATCACACACACACACACACAAACACACACAAACACATACTCATGCACAAACACAGGGAGACAGGGACAGTGTGTGTGAGAGACAGACAGAACGACAGACAGAACGACAGACAGAACGACAGACAGAACGACAGACTCAGCAGCCAAATAACAGTGAGCAAAATAAGGACCAAAAAGGAGAAAATAAAACCTCCACCCAGACGTGCTCCACCCATCTATCAGACCAGTGGTGTTACCCTGGCAACCAGTCTGATGATTAGCCATGGTAACCACTGCCACTGGACTGTACTCTACTCACTGTGTCCGTGGGGGAAATGTTAAAGAGAAGATAAAGGTGAAGGGAGTTCAGGTGCCAATCAAACAACCAGCACCGGGTCAGCAGTGAGTTAAAATCTCTGATTTTCTCTATGGACTTTGGTCTGAACTAAAATCTCTGATTTTCTCCATGGACTTTGGTCTGAACTAAAATCTCTGATTTTCTCCATGGACTTTGGTCTGAACTAAAATCTCTGATTTTCTCCATGGACTTTGGTCTGAACTAAAATCTCTGATTTTCTCCATGGACTTTGGTCTGAACTAAAATCTCTGATTTTCTCCATGGACTTTGGTCTGAACTAAAATCTCTGATTTTCTCCATGGACTTTGGTCTGAACTAAAATCTCTGATTTTCTCCATGGACTTTGGTCTGAACTAAAATCTCTGATTTTCTCCATGGACTTTGGTCTGAACTAAAATCTCTGATTTTCTCCATGGACTTTGGTCTGAACTAAAATCTCTGATTTTCTCCATGGACTTTGGTCTGAACTAAAATCTCTGATTTTCTCAGTGAGGTTTGGTCCATAGATATATGATATAAAATGGCTGAATTATCAAAAATATATATTTCTAAAAGGTGTATTGTTTTAATTGTGTTTTAATTGTTCACCACATTCACTGCTGTTGTCTTCACTCTAACTCTGAACACTCTTGTTGTGGTCACCAAACAAAACAGGAGATGAAAGAGGAAAGGCCTGCGTAGAAGAAGTATGGAGGAATGGAGCAGAGAGAGAGTGGACAGATCAGCAGCAACAGTAACAGCAATCAATTATTCACAAACCTGAGCTGCAAAATGTCAGCACAAACACACACACACACACACACTGCAGGTCTTCTCAGGACTCCCTCACTACTGTCTGATACTGAGTCACCTCTCGACAGTAAGTTTCTCAACTAGATGCAACACTGATTTTTCTCCATGGACTTTGGTCTGAGCTAAAATCAGTGTTTTTCTCTATGAGGTTTTGGTCTGAGAAATCAGTGTTTTTCTCTATGAGGTTTGGTCTGAGTTAAAATCAGTGATTTTCTCTATGAGGTTTGGTCTGAGTTAAAATCAGTGATTTTCTCTATGAGGTTTGGTCTGAGTTAAAATCAGTGATTTTCTCTATGAGGTTTGGTCTGAGCTAAAATCAGTGATTTTCTCTATGAGGTTTGGTGCTGTGTTAAATTCTCGGGTGAAGGATTTCTCTCTCACGCTTCAGAGAAAAACAAAAACCAGATGAGGGTCAAACCCAGACGATGTTTTTCTGAATCTTTTGACCTGAAACTGGACACCAGGTCGGAGTCAGATTACACCTGAGAGTCGAAAGTAATCAGATTACTAGCGAGTGCAGCGTGGACTGTGAGGCACCTCAGCCTTGAACCAGCAGCTCAGAGACTCCTGAGCCTCAGACCTGGTCTGGTCCAGTCCTCATCAGTGTAGGACTGACCCACTGACTGTTCCTGGTACTGATGCAGAGCCCGGTTCTTAAACGGGCTTCATGAGGAACTGGAACTGGTCTCACCAGTTCCAAAGACCGCTGCCGTTAAACTGAGGGAAATGTTCCTTTACATCAGACCGGTACTGATCAGCTCCATTAGCTGCTCGTTTCCCACACAGAGTCATTAGCTTCCATTAGCGCACACACACACACACACACACAGACACTCCAGGTGTTGTGGTCTTTAACCAGTCTGTGGTTCTGGACTTCAAAGCCTCCACTCAGCTGGTTTCTGGTGTTTGAAGTTTTTAATTTAAACTGATTGGATGTTTGATTGACTTCCTGGTTCAAAGCCGCACAAAAGTCGATATATATAAATATAGACTTTTGGTTGTTAGTCTTTGTTGAAAAGGTCACTGAGGTCAGCTTCAAAATAAAAGACATTCACAGTACTACAGAAAGTAGTGTTTTATCACTACAGCTGATTGTAGACTGACAAACCCCCTCAGTAAAGAACATCAAAGACAAACTAAAGAACATCAAAGACCAACTAAAGAACGTCAAAGTCAAACTAAAGAACATCAAAGACCAACTAAAGAACAAAGACAAACTAAAGGACATTAAAGATAAACTAAAGGACATTAAAACCACCTAAAGAACATCAAAGACAAACCAAAGGACATCAATGTTTGTTAGGGTTAATAAAACTAACAACAGACAGATGGCGCCATGTGAAACATTAAAGCTTCAATTTGAGTAAAAAATACTTTTCATTGATCACAGTTAAAATGGGATGAAAAATTCTTTGGCCGTCATCCGACCAGAACTTTTTCCTCTTTGTTATCGGGGTGGATGAACGTGTTTGATTTAAGGGTTTGACTAAAGACGTTTTTGTGTCACTTCCTGCTGGAGGCCTCGCAGCTGATCGCAGGTGTTTTAAAGGTTCAGTTAGCAGAAGCTTTTAGTCCCCCCCCCCCCCCCCTCTATTTTTTTTATGTCCGGAGAACTCTCTCTTCCTCTCTCTCCCTCTCTGTCAGTGTCTCTCGCCCAGCAGGAAACCCTCTCCTGAAACCTTTCAGCATTTCCTGCCTGTTTTCTGAGGAGAACAGCGACATCAACACGTCACTGACGTCGTCTGATCCTTACGGGGTTTTTTAGTTTTTGTTTTTTGGAACGGGTTCAAATTTCTGGATGTTTGTGGAGAAGATAAAAAAGTTGACACTCCACTCACTCTTCCACACCAAAGGAGAAGAACGATGAGGATTCAAGAGTCACTGAAGAACTTCAAAGACACAGGCAACAAACAGTTCCACCGCAGAACGCTGACTCGGACTTTCAGTCGGACTCCAGACTTTCGGCTCTGTTGAGGTTACTGCTGTGATCGTGAGGCCCGGTGTAGACCGGTGCAGCCCGGTGTAGACCGGTGCAGCCCGGTGCAGACCGGTGCAGCGACAGCGATCGATGTCGTCCGCTGCTGCAGTCGGACCCTGAGGAGGATGATCTTACTCCACCAAGGAAACAGATCTGACTGGTGTAAAGGGAAACCCCCTCCTCTATCCCACAATGCAATTCTGCAGTGCTGGAGCTACATGAATGTTTGCGTGTGTTTCCACTCAGGGCTGTTAAGGGGCAAAGGGGCGGAGTCAGAGTGGGAGTGAAAATCGTTAGCATCTGTAATTTCAGTGTGGCCTGAATCTGCAGCATCAGCGATTTCTCTGTTCTCCATCCTGTAACAGAACCGTAAAAAAAAAAAAAAAAAAACTCCACCCGCGGCTGGGCCGACGACGGACCAACACTTCCGGTTTGAAAGGTGTCAAAATTGTAGTTCCACTGATCAGCCACTAGGGTAAAACCTGCTTTTTGATCTCCTTGTTTGAACTCCTTGTTTAAATTTGCGATTTCCATTCATAGGGTTAGCAACGATAAAAAAAGGACGACTTTGACCGCACACAAAACACATCAAACAGACATCAAAGATGTCGAAGAACCCCAACGGTAGAACACGTCAAACCCACGAACACAACAAAGGAAAAGTCACACACTGACAGATAAAATAAATCAAAGGAGCTACAAGTCGACCCAAGAACAGAAGGTGCTAGCAACCAGCACAACAAGAGCGGCGTAGCTTGACGAGACAACGGAGAAAAAAGACACAAATCAACTACAAAGGCAAACTACAAAAAAACAAAAGAAAACAATATAAAAATAACTTCAAAGGCATGGACAGCAACTTTAGCCAAAATATAGAGAAAAATACTGACAAATATGAGCAACAAAAGTTGCCCACTGGTTGGCTTTAAAGACACAAAATCAACAGAGACAAAAGGAGCTTCAAAAAGGGAAAAAACAACATCAAAGGAATGAAGGCCCACAGTCACAGTGACATCACAGTGACATCACAGTGACATCACAGTGACTCTCTCACGCCCCCATGGTACTGGTCCACAGAGTGACTCCCAGGACCAGTTCATTTACATGTAACTCAACCCCACACACTCCAGATTTCCCATCAGCCTCAGCTTCTGATGAAGTGGTGAGTTGATTTAGCCTGGAGCTAAAGTTTCAGTGGCGATAAATCTTAATCCGTCCATTAGCTTCAGCAGGCTAAAAACAGACGTCGGAAAAACATCGCAACAACAACCGGAGCTGCACACGAGTCAGCGACAGAGGAACAGCAGGTCAAAGGTCACTGCTGATCTGTTAGGTTTCTCTCCTCAGAGAGTCAGAGTCAAAGAGGGGGAGGTCAGAGTCAGGGGGGGGAGGGTCTCAGCTCAGGCCAACGTCTGGTTTTCAATCAAACCAATGAAAATGAAACTAGTGAGTTGACCAACGACTGGTTGACCAACGTCTAGTTGACCAACCGCTGGTTGACCAACAGCTGGTTGACCAGCTGCTGGTTGACATATGTCTGGTGGACCAACCGCCGGTTGACCAACGACTGGTTGACCAACGTCCGGTTGACCAACAGCTGGTTGACCAACAGCTGGTTGACCAACGTCTGGTTGACCAGCTGCTGGTTGACCAACGTCCGGTTGCCCAACAGCCTGACAGACAAACGGAGGAGTTACTCACACGAAGGCGTGGTACAGCAGCGCCCATCCTCGCGGTCTCTCCAGAGTGTCGTAGATCAGGTTCTGGATCTTTCTTTTGCGAAGTTTACTCCTCTTGTTGGGCCTGGTGTAGTTGAGGGGGGTCTTGGCCAACAGACCCACCCCGATGCCCTGAGAACCACGACCCGCCGCCACCAGGAGGAGGGCGCCATCTTTGTCCACTCCTCCCTGCTCTAGGAGGTCCACTGAGGAAGGAGGAGGAAGAGGAGAAGGAGGAGCGCCGGCGAACGACTTCTTCTTCTGCTCCTCTGAGACGTTAGCGACGGCCCGGGAGCGAAGCCCCATGATCAGACGAGGAGGAGGAGAAAGAGGAGCAGGAGGATGAAGATGACGTCCGGTGGGGAGGACAGCATGCCATGATCCAGAGACCCACGTCTAAAGATGGAGGGACGGCTGTGGAGGAGGAGGAGCAGGAGGAGCAGGAGGAGGTGGAGGAGGTGGAGGAGGAGGAGGTGTGACTGTGGAGGACAGAAAAAGATCAGGAAGGAGTAGCCTGAGATTAAAGGGAAAGA